ATTTAACTATGCTTCAGTTATTCCCATTATATCAAAATCCTCCATTCCTACCAGTGCTCTAAGGTCATCTATTTTTTATACTTCTAGCATTCCAAAAAGCCCTTCTTCCACTGAACTGATCCCACAAGTCCAACCAGCCAATTTGCTGATCCTTACATACTAACCTAAGCCTAGAATTTAGTCCTATTAACCTACGTATAACTTCATCCCTACAATTAATTCTGGGCAGTATCCCTGACAAAATTGAGCTATGTCCTTTTTCTTTAAATGCCTCTTGTACTTATTAATTAGCTCCTCTGACCTACTTTTCTCAACATCATTAGCTAATATATGCACCACAAAAACTGCATCTCTACTAGCCCCCTTTATTATATTGCATGCTCTGTCAGTTATAGCCTCCACCTGTGCCTCTGGGTATCATAATCTGATTATTTTCTCCCTATTTACCCCACAGACTATTCTATCCACATTCCTTCTCAAGGAATCTTCTATAACTACAACCTCCTTATCATCCACATTCTCTGACCCTTTTGTTTTCCTTCCCTCCAATAGTTTCTCATCTGCAGAAGTCAAGGACTGAAATATGTTGCTCAATAGAATAGGCTCATTATAATAAAATTCACTAGTTTTTACTCTAATAGTACTCTATCTAGCTGATGTATCCATTGCATGTAAAATCTTAAGCTCCTCCTGAAATCCTGCTGCCATTTCCCACAATCTACACTTCTCTTATCTATTGCCTCTACTTTAAATTTAATCATGATTGCCTCTAACTTCTCCTCCAACCTACAAACTCTGCATAAAAATTGCATATATTCATTACTACTTCTAACTAGCTTCCTTAAAAGTACATTCCAGTCAGTTCCCAAACAAAACCCACATATTTCACTCAACAAACTGTGAACACTTAACTCCTACACTAGTTTTAACCATTGTATTTATACTTGTAGCCTGAATATAAATACTCAATACCAAATACCAGTGGCCTATTGTTAACACTGTTATTGTTAAGCCTGAAATTTAAAAATCAATTATATTATTATTTATCACTACTTTGTATCCACACTAAAGTTAAGCTCTTATACTCAAGTTACATATTTCTGAAAGTTATTTAATATCATGTTTTTATAATTTGTAGCAATTTGGGTTAAATAACACAATAACTAGGCATAATAAGATTGGTGGATAAAAGTAGGACTGTCAAAGTTTTAGGTTAGAGTTTAGGGGTGTAAGTTATTACTACAACGTTAAAATAAGCTTAGTACATGTAACTGTTCTTTAGACTTTAAGATATATTTCAACTTACTGGTAAATCGTAAAACAGGATAAATACATTGTTTTATTAAATAAATACAATCTAAAAACTCGTTTATTGTCTCTTGGTGTTTTAAGAATTAACTTGAACTTAGATCCAATAGTTTATAATCAACTTATTGTTATACTAGGTATAGATATACTTTTCTTTTACTTTGTTCCCTTTTCAGTAACACTTTCTCAGGTAGAGAGGAAAAGATACTGCTCAAAAACAAACTAATTCTTTAACATGTAAAAATACTAATATTTCGTTATACGAAAAACAGGATGCATATTCATGATCAGTCTTCTTCATTTTGTCTTAATATTGTCAATTTTATCACAACAGTAAATGTTCAATAATAGCACTGGATTATGTAAACATATTTAACTCAGCTGTTCCACAAACCTTTGTTGGTTTGTTTCGTGATTTTGAAGCGATAGGCTAGAAGGCATATATATACCCAATAACACTTACTCTTAGACTACTCCAATCAATTTTGACGGTCACTCTTATAACATACACGACCACAATGTTCATGCAGCATTCTTAGATCATGTCCTGACCTCAATCAAAGCGTTATCCTCTCTGCCATAATAAATAATTTGTGTTTAAAATAAAACAAATAACTTCTATTAATGTAGTCAGATTGTGGCACAGTAAGGTATCGTGTTTTTCTGTCCTTAGTTAAAATAAAAGTTTTTTTCTAATTTGTTGTGTTTTCAGAGTTTCCGGTTTGGATGCAGAGATTCGTTTACAGACCACAAACAATAGGGCATTTTTCGTGCTTGAATGTGTATATCGTAGCTTTTAAGAAAGTACGGCCAAGAAAAAAGGATGGCGACTAAAATATGTGAAATCAAATTCGGCGGCCAAAACAGTACAATAACGCTGTTGATGACAGTGAAAATTTTAATATTTGTCATCATTAATCTTTTTTCGTCCTCAACGGCATTATTGTACTGGGTTGGCCGCCAATTTTGATTCCACATCTTGCACCTAACCCTCCAAAGTCTACAAGATCTAAACACAGAAAAAAAAAAGGATTTTTTTTTTTGGTTCCGATAAGTTTATCCTCAAGCAAGACGAGTTTCAAACGCAATAACGTTAAATGTAGATATCACTTATATAACTACCTAGAAAACTTTAGTTAAAAAAATTTGCATACATTTCCGACATCGGTATCATACAGCCTTAGTATAAAATGGGTGTTAAGCAATATTAAATTTTCTACTTGCGTGAAGTGCTCTAGTGTTTAAATCATTTAAATTAAATTCTTTAAGAAGGCACACAGAAGACAAAAGTTAATTACAGAACCGTACACAAATATTTTGCACACTGTACTACTTACACAAAAGTATTAGCATGTTACTGAAGAGTATACGATTTATCACGTATATTGGGTCAAGTGGTAGGATTATTTGTAGGAATTTATAATTTTTGTTTTAAAACATACTTATTGCAAAAGCACGAGTTTCGATACTGCTTTAGAATAATAGCTAGAACTTCTCACGCGCTTATCACTACTTTGTCTTATTCGTATCCCTACATGGTATACCCACTATCATAGTGTCTTGGATCAATGTCAACGTTGTCAGTAATTTTATTTTGTAGTGAATTGTTCTATAGATAGATAGCATACGTTATAATGTAAACCATGCACGTTAACTAGCCTTAAATATAAGAACATTAAACAAAAAATTCACTGTTGAACTTAAGATTGTAATGTTAGTTATTACACAAGCACGATATGTAGATCTCTAAAACGTGTAATTTTGAAAATTGCAAAATAAACAAGACAGAGAGCCATCTGAATGTTTAATTGCTGTTATTTAAGAAACAGTTATTACATCAGTACAAACGAAAATGACAAATTACAAAAGCAAACTAAGTGAAAATTTGACTACGAAATGAGACAGATTGCAAAATATTTAGATTGAATTATTACGTTATTATCACCGAATAGTTACACAATTTACAAAACCTGTTATACGTTTCTTATAGAACACGTTAATTATTCAGCAAGGTATTAATTGGAAGTATCAGAAGATCAACACTGGAATTATAGAACAGTTTTACTGTCCTTCTTTCAATGCCGGTTTATCGCTCATTTGTATCTGTACCACTCGTTCATTTGGCTGCTCACCCTCCAAGGCTTTCTTAGGTGCCTCAATCGTTAAAATTCCGTCCGAACTTAGGGAAGATTGTACGGTTTCTGGATCAACTTCTTTGGGCAACATGTAACGTCGCACAAATTGTCGAGATACAAAGCCGTGCTCATCTGGTTTTTCTTGATGTTTACCTTCAATGACAACGAAATTTTCAACAGTTTTCACATTTATTTCGTTGGGAGCAAAATGACTAACATCTAGCAAAACCTGGAATTTATCAGCTTCGTTTTTCACCTGAGAAAGGCCACTGCTTGCTTGAGAACTTACTTGTCGCCGGGGCTGTCTGTAGTAACTATGATACAAAGTTGGTGGAAAAATATCACTATCATGAAGTCCGAGCCCAAAATGCTGATCAGCAATACGTGTAGGAAAATCCCAGGTGTCCCACCAATCTCGGCCTAATAATGAAGGTATTATGCTACGCGAAAAAGCCATACTAGAACTTGTAAAAGGACTTTGCTCAACTTAATTATAATTTATAACCGTCACAACTTCTGTCTATACTTTCATAGAGTGCATCTACCGAGACCTATATATATAGCGGTTTTAACAGAGCCCCCTATAAAAATATTTTATATAGAGGGCACTAAGTTGTGGGGAACATTCTAGAAATGTTTACATTAATCTCTCCGCCCTTCCGATATTGCGCAATATGCGTCCTCTAGACTCTAGAGAACTTGAATATCTAAGTTACATTTACGCGAACGTTCTGGATAGTTTCGTATGAAGGCTTTGCTTCTTTGAGCTTTGGCGTATTGAGTTTAGTATTTTTATTTAAGCACTTTTATAAGTGAACACGATGCAAAATAATGAAAGGTATTACTTAACAAAAATTGTGCTATAAGTAGAACATGATTTCATACCAGTAGAAATTTGACTTCACTTCAGAATGCTAAAGTATTTTAGCATTGTATAGAAATATAACAAAGAGGCTGGAAAGTAAGAAATTATTATCGGATACTTTTAAAACAGAAATGTGATTTTATTGTAAACAAAATGAGTATTAAAGTCCTTTGTAATGATTTAAGTTAATGTACAGAATATTCAACTTATAAAATAAACAAAGTGATGAACAGGGGAAGGGAAATATTGCTTAAAAGCCAAAATTAAAGCAAAGTTTAAAGACAACATTTAAAAATTTATTTTATTTTGCATTTTACAACATTAAGACTATTGTAAAATATCCATAGAATTTTAAGTGTATACGCTTACTAAAAAAATGTATTTCGTTAGCAGAAAAATGCGAGGCTATATCTCAGCTGTTCCGCAAATATTTGTGTTTTTGTTTCGCATACTTGCGCCAAGCTACAAAAAGGCTGTCTGCAGTTCGTCTCTAATTATAAAGTAATAGGCAAGAGAGAAGCCAGTTAGTCAATAGCACTTACCAATAACTCTTAAGTCTGGATTTGACTGTCATTTTTATGATATATATCCAGTGTCACTTGGTAGGCGGTAGAACTGCCCATGTAGAGATGGCTAGGAATGTTCATCGAAATGGTACTTTAAATATCTCCTCGATAGATCGTCAGAACTTTACGGTGTTTCATCTTATAACATTATCTATGTAATGAATTAGAAACAAGTTCTGGGAATGTCTGTAAATATTAAAGCAAACGTTTGAATTTCATGTTCTACTGCTTCTTTTTTATTACATTGTTTACGAGATAACTCCAAAGTTGAAAAACCAAATCAATGGTGTCAAAATTTCAAACGGAGTATCTTCTTTTATAAATATTATTAACTAGTAGTAATAAAAAAATAATAATTCTAGTGTAAACGATGTTACCATTACCCCCTGAGGTTAGCTTTCTTATACAAATTTGGTGTTCCTTTAAAAAGCTTAAGTACAGGGTGAAAGGAATTACCAGCCAATATATAGATAAACAATAAATAGTACAGTTGGAACATCATTGTCTTGAGAACTTGGTTATAAACGCAACCTTTGTATGTCTGTTGAAATATTGCATTAAAAAAACAAGTAAAGAAAAACTTTTCAAAAAAAGGAAATAATATAAGGAATGACTAATGTCAGTCCTTCGAAACAAAGATAACAGGGATGGATGGCATTTGCATCATCCTAACATAATAGCACAGGCAAGAATTAACATATAACAATATATATATAATTATTCATTCACAATTGAGTTTAATTTATCATATTTTTGTCTGTTAATATTCAACTACTCTGTGTGCCTGTACTATTAGTATTATGTAGGGATGATGCAAATGCCACCCCTACTATCTTGTTTACATTGTTTTTTGAAGGATTGATATCAACCATACATACATTAATTACTTTTTTAAATGTTGTTTCTTTACTTATTGTTGTGTTTTTAAAGCATTTTCTGACCTCAATTGAAGGTTATCTTTTCTGCCATAATGAAATTAATAAGTAGTTGGTGTTGAAAATAAAATAAATAATATTTTGCTACTAATCACTACTGTAATTCTGATTTGTAAAAGAATAAAGATGATAATAGCTACACCTCACTCACTTAATCTGCCACACCATAAAAGTTATTGTTTATGTAACTAACCTAGATCACATATTCCAACTGGCTTGATAAGTCTTGATACACGTGAAAGGCCTTGTTCGGCACCTTATATGGCAGATATAATGTAGTTAGCATATACTTATATATTTGTCTTTGCTATCACTCATAAGTTCTTAAAATTCTATGAAATCTCATAAATTATCCTGCATGATTATGATTTACAATCGTTACAGTAACTAGAATCAATAGACAGATGTATTTTGTTGTTACCACACTGTTAAGTGAGACCAAGCTCCTATTTTAGTAACTCACAATCACAGCTTATTGTTTAAGCTGTATTTTTAGTACTGTGATTTACGTGTATGTCATTACATTTTGATTCAACATTGTACATGAAGATAAGCTATTAACACACAGAATAACATTTTGTAGCACCACTATTTTGTGCTTAAACAGTTTAATATTTTACATAACATAGAGACTGTTTCATGCTTGATCTACATAAATACCTTTTAGTGTAGTAGAGAGATAATATATATTCTATCTTTCTATATACAGACTGCAAAATAACATTATAAATTTTGTCTTATTTTTTATTTTACTACCAAAATTGGTGAAATGTAAAAAATAAATAAATAGACATGATCTGACTTTTAATAAAGTATATGAATAAGAATTATTTACTGTTAAGAATTTCTCAACCCCACTTTTAATTGTATTAAGAAATTGTAATACAGTTTAATTTTGTGTTACATTTCAAACCTCAAATTCAGCATCACCAGAGATTGTGAGGAACACAAGTATATTACAGTTTAAAAAGATAGTAATTACCATAATAATTAGTGTTTAAAAAACTGTTACATAGCATAACATAATGTTTTGGTACAACATGGGACCTATTAGTCCACCTTGGTTGTCCCATCCTCTAAACTAAACTAAAGCTATTAATAAATAAATTTTAAAAAACCTTAAAGCCAGTCTTTATCATTTATATACTTATCATGCCTTCTCTTAAACTCGCATAAATTACTGCCTCCACAATATACAAAGACAACCCATTCCAAAGGCCAACCACCCTATTAGAAAAATAAAACTGTCTTAGCTGAAGATGACTCCTACTCCAACCCAATGAAAATTTATATTTATGTCCTACTATCCTCACTGTTAAGTATGAAAAAAGATGATGCATAAATACTATCAGTTCCCTTTACAATCTTAAACACCTCAATCAGATCCCCTGTAACTCTTCTTTATTCAAGAGAAAACAATTTGAGAGATTTCAACCTCTCCTCGTATGACAACCCCTCCATCCAAGACACAATTCTAGTAACTCTCCTCTGAACTCTTTTGAACAATTCAATGTCTCTCCTAAGGTAAGGAGCCCAAGACTG